TGAGATGATTTGCCCACGAAGCCAAAACAGACAATTTGTCAAAACAAAATCCATAACATTTTTATTTGTGGCATCAGTACTCACCCGTGCCGACGGACGGTAAGATGCATTTATGCATGTACGGCCATGATACGTTGCGTTTTCACACATTGTTTTGGAATTCAAGAAAAAAATGCTAGCAATCGGCAAAATAAAAGAATCTGATATGTTCTCGAAAGATTAGACATAAAAAATAGATAAATTGAAAAAAGTGGAAAAGATAACTAAAATATTATTCAATTACAAATACTCGTGGTAAACTAATCCAGCAGCCATGTTTGATGTTTATTACCGCTTTCCGAATTCAGTACACGAACACCCAGAATGCGCTGTTCCCCTATGCAACTTAGATACTAAATCGTTACAGCACCAACAGCGGTGGGTAGCCGACGGTCGTTGAATGGGGTAGGCCAAAAGGTCATCAGTTTGCCTTCTCTATGCTGTTTTCACAATGAAAATCGAGCGAACGTTGTAAATACGGCTAGAATTTAAATTTTTGTTCGAGTTTACATGCAATCTGCTAATATATTTGTTGGTGGGCGGGTGTTGAGAGTTACTGGGCGGCCGTAAAACTTGATGGGCGGGCCGCCCGCCTAAAACCCCTTGTGGAGAACACTGCTGTATTATATGAAAAGTAAAAAAAAACACCCTTTATGAATAGCTATCATGTTGCAAGCTCTGCTTTGTATGCAAATCAACTTAAATAGTTGGTGTCCAGTGGAGGGAGAAGTCAACAGTACTGTTGCCTCCTGAGAAACTACATCTTCAAACACTGCAATCTCTGAAGTGCATTTTTAAACTAGTATTATAAAAACTCTATCATTCTGTTCTAATAGCTGAAAAATATTCCTGTGAGTTTTCATTTGTCGAATGAACTGTTTGTCAAATACAGAATACATATATTTTAGAATAATTTTCTTTTTAAAATGTGGATGAAATGTTTTGCTTTTAATGTATTTTTTATGTATTGTTTTTGATTTGATAACTTTTGACTAAACAGATTTTCTATTAGCTTCAGATCTTGATCAAAGTTTGGCACCCAGTTCATAGCAGTGCTTATATTGATTTTCTGACATCTTGTTTTCTGTAAAGATTTTATTGGTAGGTTTGCAAATGTGTATCAGACTGTGCAATCTCTCCATGGGCGAGCATGGGCGCTAACGCGGTCGAGTACGGTATATAAGGGACATGGAACAAAGTCTATCATAATGACGCTAATGAGTGTATAATCATCTGGTGGTGGTTCAGGAAATGCCAGGTTTTGTGATGGTTCCTGCTGGTAGGCAGCAAAAATATTTTTTTCTAATTCACTCTACCAACAAACAAGCTGATATTCTGTATGATTCCTATAAATGCCTCAGGCGTGTCCCTAGCAACCAATCTTAAATTATTGTAATTATGTAAAATTTAGGGAAATATCTTGCTTTGAACTGGTTGTTATGTTTAGCAACAGTATTTCAAAAGTTTCAGAGAGACACCAGTTCTACACTCTTTTTTAACACTCACCTTCAAAGTCTTGCATCCTGTCAGGAGGAATTGGAACTGTGAATGACGTCTCCAGGATCTGTAATTATGACATTCAATTCATTAAAATCTAAGTGACTGAGAGTAACTATTAAGTAAATAAACAAACTTCACTCAGCTCCAGTGAGATTAACTATAAATAAACTAACAGCAAGAAACTAGGACTCACTGACCGACATTAGATCTCACCTCATTTTAAGAAGAAATGATTACATCACAACTGATCTAATTAATCTAGACTGGGTGTCTGTCAAATACAATACTGAATTCAAAATTGTGTTGCTATACAGCCAACCATGGAATGTTGAACCCTTATGCTCCACGAATAGCTAGCCTTAGGTCCTGTTTGTGTTTATGGTACTATTAGATTCAGATATGGCAATGGAGCATCATTAGTTCACCAAATTTGTGTAATATACAACAAATTCACATTAAAAACTGGCCCAATTTGGCCAATTTCAAAGCAGCATGGAAACATGTGTGCTCATTATATTACATTTTGTTCATTACTGATTATTTTTGTAGATAAATCTTTCTACACTTGTATTTCTTCATCTCATGATCGATTTGTATTGTTAAACTAACAATATAAATGATTATTAATTATTATTACCAAATTTAATTCATTTACTGAGTTTACATTGGAGGAGGATGTTAGTCCGAAAGTATGATTTCATCATCTCCCTCAATATGTACTGATATGTATTACTGTACCTTTTCTGCAGCCAATATTTTCATCTGAATAATTTTCTTTGCACCGTTCACTTGACTGATACAATGACCAAATATTCTGACCTCATAATGACCCGGTGAGTCTGAACCTACAATTGTAGAGTATTAAAACTTTCATATATTGAAAACATTTCCTACAACAAGCAGCCTCTCAGCTGAGATAGCTCCGCTGTTAGCAATGCACGTTTCAAGTAAAAAACTGAAGATATCATTAGAAAATGAACAAATCTGAGAAAGGTCTACCCGAGGTACCAATATGTATAATATCAAAGAAATCAGACTTGCGTTTTTTAACAAGAAATCAAAAATATCACTTTTTACCAAAAATGACAAAAATATTCATCAAAATTAGAGAATTGAAGATATCATCATGAAATGAACAAATCTGAGAGAGGTCTACCTGTAGTACCTATACCAAAATTAGATAATTGAAGATATCATCATGAAATGAACAAATCTAAGAGAGGTCTATCTGGGGTACCTATATGTATAGTATCAAAGCAATCAAACTTTCTGTTTTCAACAAGCAGTCGAAAATAACACTTTTTACCAAAAATAACAAAAATATTGATCAAAATTTGAAAATTGAAGATATCATCATGAAATGAAGAAATCTAAGAGGTCTATCTGGGGTACCTATATGTGTGTCATCTACAGGTCTGCAACATAGAGCATTATTTACTTACGTTCATTTTCATGAGTGAAAGACTTACTTGGTGCTCTGTCAATCTTCACTTTATAATCTTTTTCTAAATCTGAAGGCACATTTGTATTTTCATCAAATACTGGAATAGAAACATATATAAAGACATGGTAGATTCACACTAGAGCAATATCCAACCCGGATGAAATGTTTTTAACTCAGTCATCGATCTCATGCAGCAATAATCGATAACATTTAAATGCTGGGTCTCAGTATTATCAAAAGTCACATTTATTTGTTGCCACTATTGTTGAAATACATTATAAAGAAGCTAAACGTCACAAATTTATAATATCTCATGTATGTGTGTGATATGTTTATTTGAAGTCTGAGTGTAATCGATCCAGCCATATCTGAATCACAGTAGCAGTGAGCTAAAACTGTAAGTCCCCGTTTACAAAGTGGCTACAAACTTTCAAGAATTTGCTAGACTCAAAAAGGCGTTTCAAATATTCCAGTTACAGCAAACATTTTTTTCTTCATTACTCATAAATTATTAACATATGCAAATAAGATGCATTTGATGATTATTTTTGGAAAACAATTTTGTATCATAGTGTGCAAGTGAAGTTCAGTGAATTGAAAAGAATTGAAATTAGAGAAAATAAGATTTAGGAGTTCTGATGACAATATGTCTTTCACTTACTTCGTTCTACCATGTAGGTCGGTACAACCAGTGTTGTCACACATCCAGTTGTTCTACTCTTGACATCCAAGCTTTTTTCTGGCAGTTGGAATGGCAGACTCACCTGTGTCATACTGGAATGCGGTTCCTACAATAAGTGGAAACATAGCAAAACTACTACAAGTGAAGGTTGAAATAGTTCCGCTGTTTTTGTAGAGTGTCATCCTCAAAGTTGATAAAGTTATGCACAATGAGATATTAACTATTCGCCATGGTTATTAGTGTTCCCACAATGTTCTTGCTATATTACAACCACGATAGTTTCTTTGTTTGTTTGTTACCATGGCAATTACAAATGTTATCTTGTTACAAATCTAATGGAGGTCAACCTATGGAACCCACAAACCAATTGCGTTGTTAGTTTATTCATTAAAAATTGAGAATTGAAGATATCGTCAAAAAATGAACAAATCTGGGAAAGTCCACCCAAGGTACATATACATATACACACCCTCCGTTTTCAAGAAGTCAAAAATGTAAAGTTGACACCGATGGACAATCAGTAATTATGAACAGCTCTACGCTTAGTGGGGCTAAAAACTTCTTTGTTTTAGTGTATGCTCTATATATTGATAATGTAAACAGTTAAAAGAGTGTATGCATTCACATTTAGTGAAAATAAAACAACTGTATTTACATAGTCCATATAAATTAAAATACATTGAACAAACATAGTCATGATACCCAACACTTTTCCCACATCAAACTGAAATGATTTGATAATTTGAGGACAACTTTTTGAGGTCACTATGACTAATATTCTGGACAATATCTGAATAATTATAACCTCAAACAAGCAAAGTAATCAGGTAATATTTGAAGAAAAGTATCATCATGTCAGTATTTTTTTTTATCCAGCTTCCTGTAGATTACGTAAACCAATGAGAGCACTTGATTGAGTCAGTGGCATTAACTGATCCAGCAATAGAAGTACTATAGTTGAAACATTAATTAAAGCTTAAAGGCATGTTCTAACTTCTGCACACACTACATATACAACCATATATAGGATTCACTAATTAACATGCTACCTTGGTCAGCTTAGATTTCTTGGCTTCTTGAATCAACAACACCTTGGCTTTATTAACAGCCGCTCTGTTGCCTTTCACTTCAATGCTTTGCATTAATCCACCATCTTTGAAAACAAAAACCTACAGCGATTCAGTGAGACTGCAATAATGCATCAATCTGAGTCACATGGCATTTTTTGTCTGAATATATTATTTTGTTGTCCTTGTTTGTAGTTGGTTATATAAAACAACTAAGTTTCCATGGTCCATAACACCAACATTTGATTTGTAGTAGCATAAACTTCTGGAAATGTGCTGTCAATTTGTACAAATTTGAGTTAACATTAACCATTGACGATGCATGTCATGTATGAATAAGCCTGGGGTATTACTGACATATTCGGACAACATATCATGCTGACTTGAAATCCACAAATCGTCTATTGCATTTTATTTACACTATTTTTCTCACTAGCTGCATGCAGGCCAGAAAAATTTGATTATTGCAAAATTCTGCTTCAAAAATTACAAGAAGACTACAGTGAGAACACTGACCAGCATATTCTCTATGTTTATAATCATAAATCATGTTCAGTTTAAAGTTGTATAACTTTCTCACCACAAGACTTTCTCAAACAAGTTTTCCTGCAATTTTTTCTTATATTCTTTAATATTTCTGGGAATGAACTCAAATTTTAAAGCAGACAAAATTTGAGTCAATTTTTAGATTTTCACTCAAAAAATGTGATAAAGAAGTCTTCATCACAGCATCAGGTGCCAGCTTGATAAGCCCCTTTTTACCCTTCAGTTTTCAATAATTGTTAAAACATTTAGTGCCATTTTATATCCAAAATTTACCTGATGGTAGAAATCTCACAAATGCACCACTGCTTTCCATTATGTCCTTTACATATTCACCTGTTAGACCAAAAACTGCAAAAAGAATTGAACAAGTCATGACACTTGATTGATGCCACTAATACTCCTAGCACCTGCTGATCATTACACTGTCAGGAACATTCCCAAGATATGGAGTTGACCAGAATCACAATCCATGTGCACTACATGCATTTTATATTATTAAAGAATGGCTTAGATTAGTCTGACATGTAGATGTGAGTAGCGCCCTTGTTGGCTGAACGGCATCAGACCTTACTAACGCCTGACAGAATAGTGTACGTCGCGTCGGCAAGATCTATACCGCGAATTCGCTAAGTTCACACCTTCTTGCAATGAGTTTCATTTTGGTGGTCATGGTAACACTGGCAATCGAAGCAGTGTTTGCATTGTTGGCAAAAATCACAGACTGTTTTCAACAAGATGATAAACATTGGGCGGATATAAACTCTGCTGTGAATGGTTACTCTTTGATGGCTGTCACTATCTGATGTTCCTGCAATTTGATTGGTACCAACAAAAAATCCTCGGAGGAAGTGAAAAATTACATCGTTATGTCAGATGTGTTTTTGAGCACCTCGAAGGGTACAACTCACAAGACCTTGTCAGGCTAGGCTTAGAATTTTTTCTTTTTTTATTGAGGGTGACCATGGTGAAAATAATTTGTGAAACAGACTACAAAACAAGGTCCAAATTTTATAATGCTGAACATCCACTGGGATGTTTGTGGATGTTATAGTGTGGGGTATGATCAGCATCAAATGGCTACAATAAAGTTGGATATTTATCAAATTAGAGAAGCACAACCAAGTTAGGGGGCATAATAAAGTATTATATCTATCTAGTTAGAGGGGCACAATAAAGTAGGATATTTACCAAGTTAGAGAGACATTTTTTATACAATTTAAAATGAGTTTCCATCAATTGTAGTGTTAAAAATGGCTTTGTGTTGATGCAAGGCACTATCTCATGCCCACTCAGAGGAATGATAATAATTGTTGTGATGGACAATGGTTGATGATGGACATTACAAAAAACTGGCAACTCCAAAAGTTACCTGATTTAGCCTGCTTGGTACTGATTGACACAGTGTCTTGTATGACCTCTTCTCCTTTTCTGAAAAATAACAATATGCAGCCATATAAATATCTCTCCAGACATCTGCCCAGTAAATTTTAAAGGTTCAGCCATACACTTGCCATATATTTGAAAGTTTGTGAAGCAATGGTATGAAAAGTTCAGGATGACTTATTTTGTTATTATATGTTATATTATATGGGTACTGTATTTGGTCTATTTAGAATCACAAAACTAAACACACACATGTTTTATATATATCAGTTAAATATGAATTTTGATCAAGGACTAAAAGAGCAAATACGGTATATCAAATATGTATAAAATGAGGGTTTGCTGTAAATGGTGAAATATGCAATAAAGATTTCACTTTAATTTGTACATTTGTGTGAATTGCAAGATGATTAGAAAATAACAAGGCAAACCTACATCTTTAGAAATACTATGCAAATGAATACAAGTCAGTCAATGATAGTGTACCTGAACCATTTTTCCACTGCGTTCAGTGATGCCACTGTTACAAGTGAAAATGTCCCCATTGGTATTTCTTAAGCTAAACACATGACATTCCAAAGAAAAGGGTGGATTACATGTGAAGGGAAACAATTTCATGCAATCACAGAAAAAAGTATTGACTAATTTAAATGTGTCAATTAAAGTTGGTGTGGTTAGTATGATGGTAGATTATAATGGTACAGTGGTGTTACAGTTCTTGCTGGTGGTACGATGGCCATTACAAGACATGTCTTATCTATTATGACTGAAACTGGAGCTAGTTTATTTGTAAGTTTTTTGAGTTGAAATAGATCAGACAAGACATGTCAGAGATACTACTGAAGAACAGCATTCAAAACAAAAAACAAAATGGCCACCAGTCAGCCATTTTCTATTCAATTTAAGGGCACAAATACTGAAATAGACTACAGACTGATAGATGCAAAGGTTAAAATATGAATGCCTGGTTTGGTAGGTTTGATTGAAGCCTTCATGAGATCCCTTGATATCTTCATTGCACATTACTGTACATAGATACAAAGTTGCATACCCTTATCATGCAAATTCTTGGGTATATAGAATATAGGTGGAAATTCTAGACACACCTGTGCCAATTCAGAGAAAATAAATGAATGGAAATCAATTAGTACATACCGAATGTGTCTTTTAATGAAATCAGTTTCATTGACATCAAGAGTGAAGTTGTGAGATGTAGCCGACTCTGCATTTGTAGATTTTGATTCATTCTTTGCGACAAATTTGTGTTTCTCGGTACTTAGCTCAGTTTCAACTTCTTGCAGCCAACTATGGACATTTTCTTGTTTACTTTGGTCAAACCAATGACCAACCTTCATTTTAGATTGGTTGCTTTTATTGCCATCGGTATCTGTCTTTTCATCCCTGCTTATGCCAGGACTCTAAAACCAATTACAAATATTAACATAAATTGCCTAATTTTTTTTTTAGCTTGACTAATACAGTGTTCATGACAATTACATAAGCTAAGCTAAGAAACAACACAACGTCGGCATATTTTGTGGCATGGTATACGGCTGTTAATTCAATTTATATTAATCAACCACTGGTAGATCTTCATGAAATTGACAGAACAAATAAAAAAACTACCCCGGTATACAGTATAGCTTGCTATACCATAGTAATCTTACAGTTACTATGCATAGTAGAATGGAAGAACATAGGATATAGGGAGCCCTCTGGAGGCAGAATTTCAGTTGGAATTTGAATTTCATTGTAAGGGAAGAGTAGGAAATTAAACTCGCGGTTTATCACGGTCATTACCGCGGTGGTGGTGGGTGCTCGCCGGTTGACCGCATTTTATGCAAAATTATGCATAGATTCCATGACCCCGGTTTACCGCGGTCGTGGGCGGTAGGCTCGCATGGCAATTTACACCCTATTGTTAAGACTATGAATGGACACAATAGACTGGGAAACTAAAGGTTACTTGCCGCCAAGTTCAAATAATAAAAATCGAGTGGTACCAGAAGATTGGAAAAATCGTCTCTATTAGTTCGCAGAAGAACACTATTTTATTTTCACGAGTCTTGGTATAACATCGCAAAGCAACCCAGAATAATGTAGACCCCACATAATGTAAAATAATATCACATTATTTTGAATTTACATCATGTATAGTCTCAGGATTTATTTTAAAAGATTAATGTTTTGCGTATACCAATATAATCGGGCGAAGTATAAATTCCAAGTGTAAAACACTCGTTAAAAGGTCCAGTTTACGTTATCTCGAGACCATGCACTAAGTAGGAAAAGCAAGCCGAAGTCGAAGAGGGAGTGTCACACACTTGGTGTTAGATATATACTACACGACTGGGTGATCAGCGAAAAAAATAGCGCACTTCTTGGCAAACTGACTATCT